TGTACATTGGGACATAATTCTTTGTAAATATTGCACATTGAATCAGCATCAATTCCTTTAGTTATATGTACGCATTCTGAAAATTGATCGATGATATGATGACGCATGCCATTTTCGCAACAAATTAAGGCTAAATAAAAATTCTTTTTATCGTAAAGAGAATGTATTTCTGTCACTAAATGATTTTGCAATATTTACAAAGAATTATGTCCCAATGTACAGACAGTTTCTTCTGATTTATCAGGGCAAGGGAAGACCAAATGGATTGAAAAAAATAGTTCCGAAAATGAACTAAATCCTCAAAATTTTTTGATTAGTGACGGGATGACATTCGGAATGCTTGTACGTCAATTATCAGGAATCATGTTACAAAAGAACGAAAGCTTGCATTTAAATATAATGCTGATAGATCATCCTTACGATGTAAACATGTTTCTGTTTGAATTACTTTCCTTTAAAATTGTGTGGGATAAGACATATTTTTTTAGCATCCCATCAACATCAATATATATAGAAGTGGCATCGACAATAAATCAAGCTTTATTTAATTCTATTCCGATCACTGGCTATTTAATAAATAAACATTTGACATGGAATATCGAAAATCTTATTGTATCTCATGATATGAATAGCTCAATTCAGATTGTTGCTAAATATTTGGATGCGCACGATTGTAATGTAATCAATACGGTTGACCTAATTTTTGAGGACGAAGAACAACAGCCTCTTTCTGAATCGCGTTGTCGCCAACTGCTGCAAAAGTACTTTTTTGATGAGTGTTCTCAAGATATTGTATCATATCGTTTCCTTGAAACATTTATTAATGTTCTTGCAAATCAGCTGTCTCAAATGTCATCTAGCGTGTTTTTTCGTGTGGACACATTAAAATGGATTGATGCGGACAAAAATCTCCGGAAAACATTGTTGGAAACTTTCATAAAAGTTTCCAAGGATTTTGCAACTCGTTCGGTGGACTCTAAGGTGGCTCAATTAAAAAATTTAACTAATTTAGAGGATATAGCAATTAGTAATAATATTAGACCATGGGAGGATTCGAATCATTTATTGGTATTTTTCTTGTCACAATCCACTGGTTCTATCTGCGCACTTTATCGTGATAAGTATAAGGTTCCGAGAAATGTCGAAAATCTGCTGAGAAGTCAGCATCATTCAAGATCTTTTAGGAATAGGTTCATATTGGATGATTATAATAAAATGTCTTCTGAAAGCATTTTAATGAAGTTAGAAAGCATGGCATGCGTGACATCCGAGAAACGTGATTATCCTCTATATGCACTTTCTACAGATAACCTTTTGAAGATGGCATTAGTTTTATTACGATCAAGGGCAAATATACCGGTAGTGGTTTGTGGTGAAGCTGGATGTGGAAAGGTATAATAATTTTTAAGTATATTGATGTTTATTTTGATATATGACTGATAATTATGCATCAATTTAGACAAGTCTTATTCAATTTCTTTCAATTGCTGTTGGAGTTGAATTATTAATTCTAAATGTTCATGCTGGCATAAGTGTAAGAGAAATAGTTGGGTTTGTGTCAGAAGCAGAAAAAATTGCAGTGAAACGTGAAGTATGGTTATTTTTTGACGAGATAAATGCATGCAATCATATTGGCATTCTTGCGGATTTAATCGCTCACCGGTTGTTTCTTGGTTAGTCCAATTTTTGATTACCCTTACTATTTTTATTGCAAATGTGGCAAAATTTAAAAAATTTTTATATTTGAATTCGAACTTTTAGGCAGGAATATTCATGAAAATATTCGACTCTTTGCAGCTTGCAATCCTTATCGATTGCGTCAAAAAGCTGATACTCAAGCAGGTCTTTCAAAAAGATATGAAGAGAAAAGTCGTCTCGTCTATCAAGTACGACCACTTCCTGATCAGATTTTGGATTTTGTTTGGGATTATGGTGTTTTAAAACCTTCTGATGAGAAGATTTATATCGATACAATGGTCAAAAAATTTCTTGAAGATTCACATATGGATGTGAAAACAGATTTATTTGTTGAGCTTTTGTTTGAGTCTCAAGAATTTATTCGAGATCGTGAAGGGATACATAGTGTCAGTTTACGCGACGTGAAAAGAGCAATCATCATATTTAAATTTTTTAGTCAAAGTCTTAAAAAACGTCAAGAATTAGCTGGTCCTGAAAAAAATCAATCCATTTTAGGATCAATTTGGAAAAATTTTCAAAAAATTGCAAAAAACAACGCATTTTATGGTAATGAAAGCTTAGGAAATATCGTCAAATCATATATATTAGCATTAAGCCTTTGTTACCAGGTTCGCTTTTTTGAACAGGAAATACGTGACCAATATCAAACTAGGATGTGTGGAGTGTTTGGAAGATTTGGTATTTCATTGAGTCATCAAACTTTTGTGGAAATCATTCAAGAAGAACAGATGGACTTTATGAAACGTATGACGAAACCAAATATGATTGCTGAAAATTTTGCTCTCCTCGAGAATGTACTCGTTATGACCGTGTGCATATTAACTCGTATTCCACTATTTATAATTGGAGCACCGGGGTAAATAAGTCATTGCAATTTCTTTCTATTAGGTTTATGTTCTATCGATGTTCAAATTTATCAATACGCCTTATTTGATATAGCGCGTCGAAATCTTTGGCCATTCGTATAGTTAGCCAAAGTCTCCGTGGAGCAGATTCTGAAGATCCTTATTTCAGGACTCTTCCTCAAGTAAATAAATTTAGTGAAGCTTATTTCAGTTACTTATATTGATAACAAATTTACACAAGTTTGCCTTTTGCAGGTATATATAATCCCTCATCAAGGATCATCATCATCTACTTCCGATGGTATCATTAAAGTATTCAATAAAGCATATAAATATCAAAATGAGTCAAAAGATTTTCAATTAATCACCGTTGTCCTACTTGACGAAAGTAAATATATTTCTTAGTGGTACTTTCTATAAAAAAATTATTCTTAACTGCGATGCTTTCCTTTTTAATTAGTCGGGTTAGCTGAGATGAGCCCTCATAATCCACTAAAAGTTTTACATTCCATACTCGAGCCAAACTATCCTGCTGAACTTCCAGAGGTTTCTATTATTGGAATCAGTAATTGGAGACTTGATAACTCTAAATCAAGTAGAGCTTTATTAGTGCAAAGGTTTGTAAATATTGTTTTTTGAATCATGAAATACAGTTTTTGAATCATGTTATTATTGAATTTCAAAAAATTGATTTAAAGCATTTTGTCATGATAAGGCCAGAATTTAAAAAAAAGGATCTTATTGACACAGCAAAACGAATATTAGGAGTGAAAGCTGATCAAACCAAATTTGATGCCTTGGCTAATTCTTATCTTGTATATGAGAAATCTCAACCTCTTGCTAATTTTCACGGGCTTCGTGATTATTATTCATTAGTTAAAAGCCTCGGTAAAGAGAAGGTATCACAAAGTCTTTATACGTTTGCAAGTGCATAATCCTTCATTTCATAAAAAAAGGATATGCTAACCATTTTATTATTTATTAATAGCTTACACCGGAATCCATACAAATGGCATTATTAAGGAACTTTGGCGGGACTGATCGAATGGATGATCTCTGTCAGAGACATTTTAACGATGTTATAAATGCATTTAATGGCCGTCCTATTAATAAGTACATGAAATACTCGGTTGAGGAACTTATTAGGGCTAATTTAGGAGATAAAAATGCACGCCATTTAATGGTTATTGGGAAAAGTAATTCTATAGTAAATCTCTTGACATATAAATTGAGAAAATGGAATGAAGAATTAGAGGATAAAGATTCTAAATTTGATACAAATTTGGAACCTGTTGTCATTTACGGCAGTCAATTTCCTGATGATTTCGATGGAGATTATCAATATAGTGTGCTATGCCGTATTATGGTAAGTTACAGTACTGTATTAAATATCCATTTCTACGGTGTCGTTATATAGCATAGTTAATATTTTATTGATGTTTCAGATGTGCGTTGAAACAGGAAGACCTTTAATTCTAACAGATCTCGATACAATCTACGGTAATAATTATTATATTTTGTATAAAATATATTTATATCTTATCATTTACGAGTTCATTAACATAATATTTTAAAATTTATAGGAAGTCTTTACGATTTATGGAATCAAAATTACATTACTGTAGGAAAAGAAGGAAACCAAACATTATATACACGTGTTGCGCTGGGTGCTTATTCGAACCCTATGGTGTGCGTTCATAAAAATTTCCGATGCATCTTAGTCCTCGATGAAAAAAAAGTCGATTTTTCAGATCCACCACTCTTAAATCGATTTGAAAAACAAAATTTGTCTATTAATGATGTCATGGATATTAATATGAAAAGATTGTTCAAAGAGCTTGAAAAATGGTCTAATCAAATAGGAGTAATTGCTGCATCAGAATTTACTGAGAAAGACATTTTTGTTGGGTTTGATAATGAGGAAACATTGCAGAGTTTAGTAATTTCCAATAGTAATGATCCATATTTGAATGATAATGATAATGATATTTTGAATAAATGTAAAGAAATGTTAATGGGCATTGCCTTGTCAGATGGAATTATACGTTCGAAGAAATCAATGGTAAATAATAATGAAGTAGAGTATTGGTATAATTTCTACTTTAAACAACGTCATGAAGATCTTTCTAGCTATATTCAATCATCAGTGAACGATTCTGTTAATGCGCAGGGAATCAATACAATAATATATACATTTTCAAACGTATATATTGATATTGCATCTTTTTTAAAAAAGACTATGAAATGCCAGGTTGATAAGCTTTCAACATTTAAGAGTGAGGCACAATTTCAATCCCGTATTAGACATTTCTGGCTAGAATCTAAAGATGAACTATTGATTTTACAATGTGATTTTGCCACATTGAATTCTGGATGCATCAAGTTCGCAAAGTTTATTATTGAACAATACAGAAATGAATTCATTATGACAAATAAATTTGACAAGCCAATCAAGCATGCATGTATAATCCTTCATTTAAAAAGAGAACACATCACATCGATAGTATCACCCTTTAATTTTATGTGTGGATGGGAACAAATTACTATCGAAACTTTAGACCCTCAAGAATATCCACTTGTTGATTATATGAATAATAATTTAGTGAATATTCTGAATACATCATTTAAATTTGAAGAAGTTATCAACCGTGAATTATTATGGTGTTTACTTTGTATGAAGTTCCCACAAACGTATGAATCAGCAGAATACTTAAAGTAAGCTTTGTTTTATTTCTTTGGAAAGATATTTATAAAGATAATTTGAAATATATTACTTATTTCTATTGAAAAATTATATATATTTTTTTCTAGAATGCTTGTTCAACAAATCCCGTGCGATAAGGAATTCATTGATTGGTTGAAGAATAAAACATTAGATTGGTTAAAAAACAATCATTCAAAAGATTGGCAATTAGATGTCGCAACAAATAAAACGGATCTATATCTATATTCCTCATTTTCACTTGCTTTACAAGCCTATATTTGTAATCTGGTCCGAAAACCAGTGGCACAATTCCTATTTGCTACAGAAAAAGTATCTGGGCTTTCAATATTTGGTAATAATGCAACATTTGGTACTTTTTCTTTTTGGAAATCAGCATTTATGGACACAAAGATATTAAATATTGATAAGCTTATCGAACCAAGGCCAGATGCTTATCATGTTCCAAAGAAAATTGATGGTTTGAGACTTCCATTTTCAACGTGCTTTATAGAATGGATTAATAAATTTAAAAATTTATATCAAGATAACGTAAACGCATTGGAAGAAAATATTGATGATGAAACTGATGAACTCCAGTCAGATATTGTTAATGAATGCATTGAAAGGTTTTCTACGAGTTTAATATCAGCTACTCCAGCTTTAAAATTACTACAAAACGACTTGGCTGATTTATATTTTAAGGATTTTGTAACCTTTATTTTGCATGGCGATAATAATAATAATAATCAATTATTATATTGGATTATATCTCATAATATGAAACAAGAAATACCAGATCCAATAAAACTTCACGTATATTGGTGGGACAATGCTGATTTAGTCTTAGCCGAGTTTCAATTAGTTTTGCTATGTCCAAATATAAAGAATAAAATTCTTGATATAAAATTTGATGAAAGTAAAAAATTAGATTTTGAGGAGTATTTATTAAATCAAGTTTCAGATATTATGATTAATAAACTTTTTAACGTCATTGACGATGTTTCAAAGAATAAGAGAAAAAATGGAGATGAAAGCATTGAAATCGAAGAAGATAACAATGGAGATGAAGAGGGCATTGAAATCGAAGGGGATGACGATGGAGATGTAAGCATTGAAAATGAAGAAGACATCAATGGGAGTGATAACGAAAATACCAAAGAATATAATGAAATTGTTGAGATTAAAGATATTAATAGGAGTGAGAATGAAATACTTCGTTTTTGGCAGCGTGAAGTTGCAAAGATATTATCTCTATCTTGCAAATTAGAAACATCATTTGAAAATCCATCACTACAGAAACTTAGAGTGTATAATGACCTGTCTAAATCATTTTCTTTGACACAGCTGCTTGAAATTAGGCACCTTGATATGAACACTGATGAAGATAATATATTTTCTGAGCAATTTATAAATCTAGTTTTTGACAAGTTTGATAAAATAGAGAATACAGAAATTGCTTTATTGTCAAGACGTTCTTTTATTTATAGATGTTTAGATATAATTCCATTTGAATCATCTATTCGATCGCACTTTTACAAAAAAATATTTTCTCAAGAACCTTTACCATTAACCTTCTATACTATATATTTAATTTTTGAGGCCGAAAATAGAGAGCAAGAAGAATTACTATTCTTTAAACTTATTGACAATTTCGATGCTCTTAATAGCACAAAACAATTACAAGATATTGAGAATACATTATCTGAGCGAAAGAATTCAGCAATGGCGGCATTATGTTGTGATGTTATTCAAACACAATTCTTTATGAAATATAAATTTGAAGAATTATTTAAGTATTTTCTAAAAGCAATAAATATTTTAATTGCCAGTAACGCCAAGGCATTACAATTAGTTACTGCAATTGCACTTTTAAAAACAATCGCAAATGACCTTTGGAATCATACAAGATCAATTAAACCGATTTTAGAATTTACTTTTGAGGATGATGAGAACGAGAATAACATTATTGAGACTTTAAATCAACGTTTAAAAATGGATCACAACTTGATTTATTCATTTAAAATATATTTGCTCAAAGCTTTACGGTTGAAAGGGTTATTAATTGATGAAATTAAACAGTTCTGTAATATGCATCAACAACTTTTACCATGGGCTAAAAATTTGGAATGGGATGATTATAATCGACTTGGTTTTAATCCTTATTGGTATCTTGAACAGTTTAAACATATTAATATATCATTTAGAAAAATGCTTCAAAGTGATGAATCATATTCAGAAACCATATTCAATTCGTTCATTGAAAATGATGATATTGCACAAAAAATATCATTTGCAGGGATGGTGATTTCAAACTTTTATATTGTAAGAGCATCACGGAATCTTAATCAAGCTGAAAATATCTTAAAACAAAAAATTTTTAGTTGTTTGGAGTCTTCTCAACTTCAACAGCTTCAACAGAATTATAAAACATATCTTATCAACTTTATGTCAAATTGCGACCAATTATACAAACTTAATCCAAATGTCGAAAATACTGAAATGTTTATAGCATCAGTTGTTGCTCATATTGTAGCATTACATATTTCAATTCCTGCGAATGCATCTCCTTTGGCTGCATATATGCAAGAATTGCATAACTATAATGATACTTATATATTAACCTGTCCATCGGATGAATTATCTATAATAACAAATACAATAATATCAACGGATAAGGGAACACGAAGGTACATTTTATATTTATTACATTTTGATTTGAACTTACTTTGTCAATTAATTTATTAATTTCATAGATATAAATGCAAATGTGGATATATTTACTTTATTGGCGATTGCGGAATGCCAAAGCAAGATGGCAAATGTCCTCAATGTAAGAGCAAAGTTGGTGCAAAAGCATATCATAAACTTGCTGATGAGAGTATTTACATAGACAATGATAAGATAAAACAAAAAATTGTTGTAAATGATAAAAAGGGTTATATAGCTGAAGAAAAATGTATTGATAACAATTATTATAGCGTTAGAACAATGCATCCAGCAGCTTATAGGATTCTTCATCTATTCTTACATTCAATTATTGGTCTTCAAGCAAATTCACCGGCTGCAACTGCATTTATAGGTAGTCAAGATAATGATATTATTTTATACTGTAAAAGAAATATCGAAAATGATTGGAAGGTATTAAAAAATATTTTTGCATGTGATGACGAAACTTTGGCGTTAGCTATTCATGCAATTCTTTCGGAAATGTCACAAGAACCTCAACAAAATATAGAAAAATTTACTACTTCAATTCAAAGAGAAGCCTGGGAAGAGCAATTTAATCAGCAATATGTTTTACCAAGAATTAGGAATTTTAGGGGAACTGCAAATGATTTTCGAATGAAAATAGCTAATTCACAACTAAAAGTGGAAGATGAGATTAATGAGACAATGAACATTACTGAAGAATACAATGAGAATTATTTATCTCAGCTCTGGAGACTTATTAGAAAACCCAATAC